CAGCCTGCACCTACCAATGGGGGACAGAGTAATTTGCCCCACTTCATTTCTCAGGTGCCTCTGTGCACCAGCTTCTTGCCCGGTCACTTGCAGGGCATTTAAGGAGTTGCCAGCGTCCCTGTGCTGAACCCTCCATGCCTCTCTGCTTGCCAAGATGTCAGGGTTTCTGGAGCTCCTGAGCTCCTCACCAGCAACAGAAGATAGCAGCTGCCTTGGGGACCCAAGCCCCTGCCTGTGGCCGGTCATGAAATGGAGACCAGCCTTTGGACCACAAGTCATGTTCAGGGCTCCAGGATTCTCACTGTCACAGTAGATGCTTGTATATTTTGGCCCATCCAAACAAGACTGCAATCTGTTTGGGTTGACACAACCTTCTACACCATCCAGATCTTTTACCACCTCCACGTTGGCTGATTTCAAAATTTTACGTTCACTCCCCGCTTTGTAGAAGCTTCCATCCTGCTGAGACAGGAGAGTTGGCTCAAGTTCATTGATCCAGTTTGGCACATTTAAATCCTTGCCAACTTTGGGGAGTGTATGTGACTGAGCATCTTGAGTTGACCGACAACTATTGGCTCTGGAGACTAGACAGAAGACAACTTCACCCGTTTTGCTTCTGAGAACTTCACCCTTCATTTTGTTCTGCACATCCTTTTCTCTGGGCCAAGTTTCCAATTCAACCTGTGGATATTGCACTTTGATACCTTCATGTTTCAGACCAGATTGCTTATGGTTTTCTTTGGTGCTTCCTGCAGGGGTGTGATATAATGGGAGGCCAATCTCTCTGAAGTGTGGTGCCACTCTGGGACATAGATCCTTATCTATGGCATGCCAACTGCTAGGACTGGTGCGAGCACACAGCTGTTCTCCAAAGCCTTTAGCGTCAATACATTTTCTCTTTTGATTTACTTGGTCCATTTTCTCATTTCTACCAACTTCCAACCAATTCTGTCCATCAGAAATTGTGCTCCAAAAGCAATCTGTTGGAAGGTTAGGTCCAAGTTCTGAAACTGGAGGATATCTTCTGTCCTTTTCCCCATCAAACTGATCATAATCACTGGCTTGAAAGGTTGGTGGCACATTAGAGCCACAAAGATTACCTGTGCTCTGATATCTCCTTTCTCTGCTGAATGGCTGCTGGCAGATAGAGAGAGGCAGCTCTTTCTGCTCTGCAAAGCTGCTTACCTGTTGATCGATCACCTGGCCTCTCTGGCTCTTCTCAAACTGTGCACTCTTCCTTTCCTGTTGCGTTTGTATTTTCATCTGCAAGTACATCTCATAACTTGGAGGTTTCAGGGGACGGTCTTTGTAACCTTTCTCTCCCAAGCTACTAGGGGGCAGTGGCATCGCCATTTCTGATGAACCTCTCAGTCTGTGGTCCGATACTTTGGAAGCCTCTTTGTGCGACCAGAGGTTTCTTGTAGACTGCTCTTTATTAAAAGGACACACTTCGACCTGTCTGTGATCAGCAGGTTGGCTGACAGAAGGCCATTGTGGCAAACCCCTTCTATAGAGGGTCTCCCATTCCTCATAGATTGGCTCGTACAGCAGAGGCAGAGGGCATCTGGATGGCTTTGGCTTATGTCCCAGTGGCCTCTTGACTTGCTCTGAAGAGCTCCAGCCTCTGCCCAGGTTTCTACACTCTTGCTTCCTCTTATGGCGCATCTCCAGATGATCCTTTGACTCCCACATTTCCAAGTCTCCTCTGTTCCAGTACCCCTCTTGCTTGGAAGTCTTTGCCTCTCTGATTGGCACCGCTTCCCACCGGTGCGTCTGTGCCTCCCCATGCTCACCTCTGGACTGCACTGCCCCACAGTTGGTGGAATCCTGCAAAATATATGGCCTCAGCACCTTCTGTCTCCTGGAGTTGAAGTCGCTTGCTGAGGCCAGAGGTGGTATCATAGGATTCTCCTGATAACTGTAAGTGAGAATAAATCAGCATTTTTCCTTTGGGTGAAGTAAATAAAATGCAAATTTATTAGATAGATGTTTCAAGACAAAGGTTCATAAGGCTCACAATGTCTTCATTGTTTATCACAAGTCTCTACATGTGATGGGGCCAAGAAACATTGGACTTTGGAGCATTCAGCCATTTGAGCCTTGAATACATTTAAAGACCTAGCCTCCATTGCCTTGAACAGAAGGATGAACACGTCTATTATGTGATGGATATAAAGCTTTCTTAACAGCTAAGTGAGTTGATGGAGAATCTCCTGTCATTCTAAGACATACAGTCAAGGAGATCCCAGGTTTGACCCATTGAGCTATATGGAGTTTCTTGCTTTCAGCCAGTGTAGAGCAGAGATGTATATAATGGAGATATGGTTGCAGGGTGACCAGGGATGGGAACTGAATATCCAGGGGTATTCAGTTTTCAGGATGGACAGACAGAGGGAAAAGGAAGTGAGGTAGCATTGCTGCTTAAAAAGGGAAATTACACAATAGTAAGGAAGGATATTAGCTCCAGTGAAATGGCAACTGTATGAGTAGAGCTTAGAAACACCAAAGGGCAGCAAATAATAGTAGGGGGTATATATAGACACACAAACTGTGTTGGTAATGTTAGGGAAGACATTAAACAGGAAATTAGAGACAGAAGCAATAAAAGTACAGCTATAATTATGGGTTACTTTAATCTGTGTGTAGATTGGGCAAATCAAATCAGTCGCAATGCCATAGAGGAGGATTTTCTGGACTGTGTACGAGATGGTTTTCTGGATCAATATGTTGCGAAACCAACAAGAGAACAGGCCATCCTAGACAGAGTATTGTGTAATGAGAAAAGAATAATTGGCAATCTTCCTTGGGGAAGAGTGATCATAACATGATAGATTTCTTCATTAAGATGGAGAGTGATGTAGTTGACTCTGAGACTCAGGTCCTGAATCAAAATAAAGGAAACTACAATGGTTTGAGGCTTGTGCTGGCTCTAAAAAATTGGGGAATGTTACTTAAAGGGATGACGGTGGATAGGAAATGGCAAACATTTAAAAAGCGCATGGAGGAACTGCAACAATTCTTCATTCCAGTCTGGCACAAAAATAAAATGGGAAAGGTGGCCTGATCATAACTAACAGTCGCTGAAAGTAAGCATTAAAAAAAGATGGAGAGAAAGTGGAGATAGTAAGAACTGCAGATGCTGGAGTCAGAGATAACACAGTGTGGAGTTGGAGGAACACAGCAGGCCAGGCAGCATCAGAGGAGCAGGAATGTTGACATTCTGGATTGGGACCTTTCTTCAGAAATGGAGTTGTAAACTGGTTGGCCTGACATTGGTAGAAGGGAAAATGCTAGTGTTCATTATAAAATATTTAATAACAGAGCGCTTGGAAAACAGTGACAGATCAGACAGAGTCAGCATGGATTTATGAAAGGGAAATCATGTTTGACAAATCTACTGGAATTTTTCAAGGATGTATCTAGTGGAGTTGATAATGGGGAACCAGTGGATGTGGTTTACTTGGAGTTTCAGAAAGCTTTTGATAAAGTCCCACATCAGAGATTAGCGTGTAAAATTAAAGTACATGGGATTGGGAATAGTGTACTGACATGGATAGAGAACTGGTTGGCAGTCAGGAAACAAAGAATAGGAGTAAACAGGTCCTTTTCTGAGTGGTAGCCAGTGATGAGTGGGGTACCGCAGGGTTTAGTGCTGGGTCTCCAGCTATTCACAATATGTATTCATGATTTTATATGAGGGAATTAAATGTAATATTGCTAAGTTAGCTAATGACACAAAGCTGGGTGGAAGGGTGAACTTTGAGGAGGATACAGAGAAGCTTCAGTGTGATTTGGACAAGCTGAGTGAGTGGGCAAATGTATGGCCATTGAAGTATAATGTGGATAAATGTGAAGTGGTCCACTTTGGTCACAAAAACAGGAAAGCGGATTATTATCCAAATGGCGATAGATTAGGAAAGTGGGAGGTGTAATAAGACCTGGGAGTCCTTGTACACCAGCCACTGAAGGTAAGCATGCAGGTGCAGCAGGCAGTGTAGAAGGTAAATGGTATGTTGGCCTTTATAGTGACAGGGTTTGAGTACAGAAGCAGGGATGTCTTACTGCAATTGTACAGGGCCTTGGAGTATTGTGTGCAATTTTGGCCTCCTTACCTGGAAAGGATGTTCTGGCGATGGAGAGAGTGCAGCAAAGGTTTACCAGACTGATACCTGGGATGGCAGGGCTGATGTATGAAGAGAGATTGGCTCAGTTCGGACTACATTCACTGGAGTTTAGAAAAATGGGAGTTGTGGGAATCTCATAGAAACCTATAAAATTCTAACAGGACTAGACAGGATAAACACAGGAAGGATGTTCCTGATGACTGAAGAGTCCAGAACAAGAGGTCACAGCCTAAGGATACAGAATAGACCAGTTAGGACTGAGATGAGGAGAACTATCTTCACCCAGAGAGTGGTGAGCCTGTGGAATTCTCTACCACAGAAAATGGTTGAGGCCAGAACATTGGATGCTTCAAGAAGGAGTTACATAGTTCTTAGGACTAAATGGATCAAAGGGTATGGGGGAGAAAGCAGGAACAGTGGACAGAGTTGAATGCTCAGCCATGATCATATTGAATGGGAGAGCAGACTCGAAGGGCCGAATGGCCCGCTCCTGCTCCTATTTCCCATGTTTCTGTGTGTAAAGTGGCCTCAGTGGCTCCACATACCAGGAGATACATATCACCCATATAATTCCTTCTGCTGGGAAGTTGGGATTGTGCCTTCCACTGTGAGGGGAGTTTGCTGAGAGTGGATTCTATCACTGACAAGAGCACCACTCTGATAGCAGCAGGGAGCCACTCATATTTATATATTCACTCTGAATTCCTTCACCCTTAATTTAAATTTTCACATAAAATAAATGATGATTGGAATAAATGGAAGCGAAAATAAAGACAAGCTATTTTTAAATAAAGAAAAATCTATTTAAAAAGTACAGATCTTTACATGATGTAGAAACTTGACAGTCCTCAAAAAATGTAAAATCAGCTTTTTAGAGCCAGTGAGGGTATTTTGTAGGAAATGGAAGTTAGTCCATTAAAAAGTCAGCTCATCCCCATTCAATAAACTGAAACTTTGACACAGGTTCTTCCATTGAGCTGAATACCACTGATATTTTTGTCAAATCATGGTTGCAATGGAGACTGCAGTCTAGAGGGAGCTTGCACAGCATAATCTTTGCTGATGCTAGTCTGAGCAACAGCAACTTTGGATTCCTGTGTACGGACTCCACAAGTTGCCATCAGCTCAGGTGGAGCGATAGCAGTGAATGCTCACCATTACTATCACAATATCTGGGTCACTTGGAGAATCTCTGCTTTGTAAGACGCTGTTGCTGTTGATTCTGTGCAAATTAAACTTTGATGCTAGATTTCTATCATTAATGTTGTGAGATGAAACTACACAGAACATTCTGTGGTCAAGAAAGACATACTGGTCTGCATTACTCAGGCTATAAAATTTCATCTTTACTGATGCCACACCACATCAAATTAATTAGTTGTTTAGTTTGCTCCTTCATTTTGACAGTCATGGCTTCACACCCAATATAATTGTTTTCTGTTTCTCTTCATGGTACATATGTAAACCATTCAAGGAGCGAATGGATTTGCTATTTATATAGTGGGGGCATTCAACAAGAACAGCATTAGCTTGGTCTGCCAGGTGAATGACTGTTGTGTGACCTCCAAGAGTCTTATATATAGCTAGCTTGAAGGTTAGAGAACCAAGTGTAACAAGGACAGATGACGTAGGTTCTGATTCAGTCAGGACTGAAAATACACCACTTGCATGATATATGGAGCTGTCTCCAACACATACTCATCCAAATTTTCCTTCTAGAATTATTGTCCCAGCCCCATGACAGAACTGGAACTTAAAGGAAATGGCAAATATAAGCCATTAGAGAAACAACATCAATCAGACATATCCCTTGTACTCGTCCTTTACAAGATGGACAAAATGATTAATTGGTACTTACATGGATCTCTCAGGAAAGGTTCCATATTTACCCAGAGAGTCATGGTTGCCGTAATTCTTCATTTCAGAGTTCATTTACTCTTTTAATTTTCACCGTCAAAGGGAAGAAAAATGCATCAATAGCAAAGAAAGAAACATTTGGATATAATCATACTGCCTAATACCATGTTGCTTTATACATTTATTCCACATTTACTGATGTTCATCTTTATCCAACAGTAATTCCATTTCTCAAAGCTTCAGAGGAGTGGGGTCTCCAAATACAAAGGACGAGATTCAGGAGTGGAAGCAGGAAGCTGAACTCTAGGTTTGTACAACACATGACAGCTGTGGCAGAGTGGGGAGCACTCTCACTGGAGTCAGAAGCTCATGGTTTCAGCTTCACCTCAGAGACATGAGCACGTAACCGAGGCTGACACTCCCACTGTGGCCCCGGGACGCGGGGTTGCTTTCGGAAGAGCCATTAAACAGAGGTCCCAGCCACCCTCGTAGGGACATATTAAAGATTCCATGGCCAGTGTTTCAAAAGGAGAGTGGGATATTCTACCTGATGTCCTGAACGATATTCATCCCTCCATCAACACCACTTTAAAAGAAAATGGACCAGCCACTCTTTCACAGTGCTGTTTGTGGGATCTTGTTGTGCACAAATTGGCCGCCATGGTTCCTGCTTTACAACAGTGACATTACTTCAGAAAGCATCCCTTGTGCTGTAAAGTGTATTGGGATGTCCTGGAGCCCTGAAAGGCACTATAGAAACACAAGTCTTGCTTTTACCAAGTGCTAACTTACTTAACATGTTGAAGGTTTGAAACTCTGAGGGATGTCCAGGAGGAAAGAAGTGACAGAAGAGAATCAAGCCATTACAGTGCTACCTGAAAACTAAAGGTGAAGTCCATTCCTCATTTAAGGCTGTTCCACTAAAAATGAGGCAGCGTGAATATGACTCAATGTTCCTGGAGTTGCTCCTGCATAGAACAAGGTTCTTACTTTCATGCACAACAATGGGAACATTATAACATTTGAAAACCAAGACATATATATATATAATGTATATATAAAAACTTACTCACCAACTGTTCAATGTATGGTGTAGTCTTCCCTGACTCTCGCTGTGTCACTTTCCCTCAGTCTGTCTCAGCTTAATCTTTAGCTCGCTGCCTGGTGTTTGTTTTTGAAAATATACTCTAATAAAGTCCTGTGTTTGTTCCACTCCTCTCGTGGTGTAGAATGCAACTCCCTGAGTGCGACTGACAATATTTGTAATTTACTGCTAAACCTCAATCGTTGTAAACTATACAGATTAATGTCAAAGAACTCTCCAGTTCCAACACTCCCACCAAATTCTGCACAAATTCCTCTTCATGTAGAAGTAATGAGGTGAAAGCAGCTTGCTAACATCAGCACTTCATCAACGTTTTGTGTTGACAGCAAAAACAGTGATGGCCACTGTCTCTCTTTCCCTCTCTCTCAAAATAGGAACATAACTCTGTCTTTGACTCAAGTTTTTGGAACAAAGAGGAATCTAAATGTAGATAAAAGCAAAATACTGTAGGTGCTGGAAATCTGAAACAAACACAGAGAATGCTGGAGAAACTCAGTAGGTCTGTGGAGAGAGAAAACAATTAATGTCTCGAGTTCAATATGACTTTTGGTTCGAACTGAACAAAATGCATTTAATGAAGTATTAACTGCTTCTATCACCACACATGTTGTCACACCTGCTGAGTTTCTCCAGAATTCTTAGTTTTTTAGCCTAAATTTAGATGTGTTTCAGTGAGTTTGCTCTGAGTGAGACAAGAATTAGTCCCGCCATAGTTAAGGTCACAGCCTGAGTGCGAACTAGCCATCTCCCTGACTGAAGCTCATTGCAGGCAATTTCAAGCTGCTACATTGACTGAAGGGCCATAGTGGGAGATTGTTGGCTGCAATCAAGCAAATGTGACTTTGACAAAGTAACTGGACTTCCCTTTAGAAGTGGACATCTACTTCCCTTGAACAAAAGCCCTCGCCCAGGTTCTCTCTTGTTGAGACTGTCATTGTGTTTTATTCTCAAATATTTTAATTTCTACAGGTTCTCCGACTCACTCTCCCACATAAGACACTTCTGTGCACAAGGCCAAAGTCAGATACTTCTTTGCAACTGCAGGTAAAGGTAAAGTCGCCATAATCTTACTGGACCATGGAGCTGCTCTTCCATTAGAGAAGGGTTGCGAATGCCAGGTTAACCTGAGAGTCACCACACCTCAGGTGAGGGGAGAGGCTAAGAAGGAGAGTCCTTCAATGGTAACCTCAGCCAGTGCCGGTATTGAATCCATGCTGTTGGCCTCACTCTGCATTGCAAACCTGTTGTACAGCCAACTGAGCCTGATTGCCAATTACATTGTAAAATATAGAGAGAAATGTTTCCTTTCTGTAACACCAGCTAGCCAAAAATTCCATTAGTGTAAATAGTGCTCATGCAGCAATTTTGCAAATACTTTAACTGGTGCCTAACAACAGTACACAGAGGAAATAAAACCCATGTTCGCACAACATGCGGATGGGATTTGTGTTTAATTACCTCCTAGTCTCAACACCCCTTTTAGTGTAAAATAGCTCACACCAGCAATAATGACACTCCAGGAACCAACAGCGCCATTTCTGAAATTCAATGTTATGATTTCTAGTGGCCTAGATCTCAATTCAATGCAAAAATAAACAGGTATGTTAAAGCTGTTGCAAACTGCATTATGTTTTATGTAAACAAGGGTTGTGAAACCCAGGACTGTCAATTAATATATTTTATAATGAATTGTGATTAGATACCTCTAGAGCAGGCTGGACTTGAATCTGGACCTCCTGGCTCAGAAATGGGGATATTACTATTGCACAAGGGTCCTAAGATGCCAGTTAAACATAAATCATTTTGTTAGTAATGTTAATCCTTTACGGAATTAATTTACTCTGTGCAATATTGATGATGCACTGCATTTAAATTGCTTTCTGTACTACATGTACAGGTCTTTATCTGATGGGGTAATTCATTTGAGAAATTATCCATCAGAGCTCTTGTGCTGTAGTGGTAATGCCCTTACCTGTGGGTCTGAAGGCCGAGGTTCAAGTCCCACCTGTTCTGAAGATATGTAACAATGTCTCTGAATGGGTTGATTGGAAAGTATCCACCAAGGACCATAGACATCTCTCTCCAGTGGAGAAATATAGTCACTTATGTATAGTTTGAGGGATGTCACTGCACAAACATGGGGCAAGATGAGGAGCTGAGTCTCCGTGACCACAGCAGCAAAGTCAATACTCACTGCTTACATTAACCCCCATTTAGGATTATGCGCTATTTGGAGCAGGGCAACCTTTGTGTTGACAGACGACATCTTAGGTGGTTGAGGCTTCTTTGAAATCCAGAAGAGGAAAGTCTAAAGGGAGTTTCAATCAACAGAAGCAATGGTTAGCACTGCTGCTTCACAGTGCCAATGACCCGAGCTCCTATCTCTGTGGAGTTTGTACATTCTCCCTGGTGTCTGTGTGGATTTCTGCCAATTGATCCAGTTTATCCTGTTATGGACCAGACCGAACCTTCTCAAAATATATTAAGAAGACAATCTAGACCCTAACTTTTTCTTATTTTAAAGGCAAGCATAAGGCATTGTGTTCCAGGTGCAATTTGATTGGTCAAACTACCAGGTTTGAAACAAAACACACTTTATTCATACAATATATTAAAATACAGACAAAATAGAAATAAGAGAAAACAATTGGCTTAGCTATAACTCTATCAAAATGCTTAACAAAATTACACACACACACACATATATAAACTACTACTAATTAACTGGTTCAATATAGTAACATCCCATAAACACGTCCTTGGCAAAGGCAAATTTAGTAAAACAGATTGTCTCATATGCAATTCTAGCAGCAGAAAGAGAACCCCAGCTTTTAGCTGTAATAGGGAGAGGAATAAGAGCTTCCACATCCATGTTCATGACCCCAGAAACTTTTACTGAAGGCTAGAACTAAAAAAAAAATCCTGGTTCTGTGGGAGCTTGACCCATTCAGGCTGCTTCTATTGTTCCAACTTAATAAAAAGCCCGAAGGTCTCACAAGCTGTTTACTTTATTGGCTTTGAGCAGACCACTCTTATCTCTGTCTCATCCTTTCTTGATAATAAAAAAGGACAAAATACACCTCTTAAAGCCGTAGTATTATCACAATCCCACCATTCAAAGATGTGCAGGTTAAGTGGATTGGCAATGCTAAATTGCCCCCTATAGGGAAGGGTAGGCTAGCTGGATTAGCCATGGGAAATGCAAGGTTACAGGGAGTGGGGCAGGCATGGGTCTAGGTGGGATGCTTGGAGAGTTGGTGCAGACTGAATGGATCAAATGGCATTTATCTGGCATGTAGGGATTGTATGAAAATGCAAAGGATGCATGTTTGGTAGCTAAATATTTTGGTAGGTGACTTGAATCCCCCTCAGGACTGTAAAGGGAGGGTCATTATTGCTTAATTTGTTTTAATTGGAAGGATAGTTTTGTGCTATGGAATTACATACAACGACACATTTGCCAAAACTGCTTCACCTCCTTCAACTTGATTGCTCTCGTTTGGGCCCAGATTTTAAAGCAGGGGAAAATTTTAAATTGCAAGCTGGGAGACCTTTCACTGCTTATGTAAACTTCAGAAAAGTTGGACCAGAATCCGTAAACTTTAAAAGAAAAGGGAATTGTTACAAAAAAAAAGCAAAATATATCCAGGGCAAGGACAGTGTGAGTAATAAGAAAAGGCACAATCTGACCGTTTATCCTATTAATATTTGTGAGATCTTGCTAAGAGCAAATTGACTGCCATGTTTTCCACATTATAGCAGTGACAACACTTCAAAAAAATACTTCATTAGCAATGAAGTATAGGACACCTGGGAGTTGTGAAAGAAACTACAATGGGACTAGATTAATTTAGGATATCTGGTCAGCACAGACAAGTTTGACCGAAGGGTCTGTTTCCATGCTGTACATCTCTATGACTCTACACAAAATACAAGTCTTTTATTCCTTTAAATTTGACCATAATTGTTGGTGAGCTTTGAAATCCTAGTCAGAACTAGCAACAATTCACCTTATAATTCTGTTCAATCTTATTACTCTGACCTGGAACTTTGTTCAATGTTCGAATCATGGCTGTGTTTGCCTCTTCATAAAAGTTATAGCGTGATTAGTTTCCCCAAGTCTAAATGGTCAGCTTTATCCAGAAAATAATGACTACATGCAATGTGTTCACTGTGAAAACAATAGCTCAAGTCTGCTGAATTTTATTATTCTTACAAAACATTTTTTTTTTAAGTGAGCACATTCACTTGAATTGCAGGCAGAACCTCTTGGTACCAGAGATGCTGAAACCAGCCAGAGGCAAAATAAAATTCCTGAATGCAGCATTAATGATTAGACAAACAAACAAGTCTCTTTTTTTTTTCTTACAGGCTGTCCAAAAACTCCACCGAGGCTGAGCGGGATTTTACAGAGAGATTAGCAGACACCAGCTCAGCACAAAGTGAGCAGGCAGGTCGATCAGCTAAGATGAGGATTAATTCCACAACTGAAATTCACTCACAAAACAGTATCAGAGCAACATTAAACAATAAAAATTTTCATTTATGCAACATTAAAAAAATAGATTATCTGTCTGTTAGACTCAGATTTTCCTCTTCCAATGAATTGCACCCTCCATACCCTGAGAGTATAGTTATTTTTGAGACGTCCTGTGGAGAGCTTGTGCTGAGTATGCAGATAAAAATCTCATCATCACATCATGACTAATGTTCCAAACATGTCAATCTAAATACAAGTCTGTAGGTACCTTCTCAGATTTAGTCATGTTAGTCACTGCCATAAGTGTCCAAGTGCCTTTTTTTTTAAACTGAGTTGACTCAAGCAGCTCTTTCACTCCTTGCATATTGAAAACTACAAGAGTACAATTGAAACTGTCACGAGCTGGTCTGGACACCTCC